GCCTTTAGTCATTCTGGTGGGTCTGCTCTGGACCCTCTCCAATTTCTCCACAACTTTCTTGAAATGCGGTGCCCAAAACTGGACACAATACTCCAATTGAGGCCTAACCAGAGCAGAGTAGAGCGGAAGAATGACTTCTCGTGTCTTGCTCACAACACACCTATTAATGCATCCCAGAATCATGTTTGCTTTTTTTGCAACAGCATCACACTGTTGACTCATATTTAGCTTGTGGTCCACTATAACCCCTAGATCCCTTTCTGCCATACTCCTTCCTAGACAGTCTCTTCCCATTCTGTATGTATGAAACTGATTGTTCCTTCTAAGTGAAATACTTTGCATTTGTCTTTATTAAACTTCTGTTTACCTCAGACCATTTCTCCAATTTGTCCAGATCATTTTGAATTTTGACCCTATCCTCCAAAGCAGTTGCAATCCCTCCCAGTTTGGTATCATCTGCAAACTTAATAAGCGTACTTTCTATGCCAATATCTAAGTCGTTGATGAAGATATTGAACAGCGCTGGTCCCAAAACAGACCCCTGAGCAACCCCACTCGTTATACCTTTCCAGCAGGATTGGGAATCATTAATAACTACCCTCTGAGTACGGTTATCCAGCCAGTTATACACCCACCTTATAGTAGCCCCATCTAAGTTATATTTGCCTAGTTTATTGATAAGAATATCATGCGAGACCGTATCAAATGCCTTACTAAAGTCTAGGTATACCACATCCACCGCTTCTCCCTTATTCACAAGACTCGTCATCCTATCAAAGAAAGCTATCAGATTGGTTTAAATGCTGAGAAAAGGGTGTACAGGGCCTAGAGCCAGGGCTGAGAACCAGATGTAAGGGCGCTGGATTCTGCTGGACTCTATTACCCTAGTGTAACAAAAATGCCCAGTCATAGGTACCAACTCCATTGGTGCTCTGGGGCTGGAGCACCCACGGGGAAAAAAATGGTGGGTGCTGAGCACCCACTGGCAGCCCCCCAATCAGCACCTTCCACTCCCCCAGCATCCCCCATCCACCTGCAGCCCTTCTAATCAGCTCCTTGCCTCCCTCCTGCTGCACAGCGATCAGCTGTTCTGTGGTGTGGCACTGGGGGAGGGAGGAGTTGGGGTGGAAAGAGGTGGGGGCTTGGGGGAAGGGGTTGGGAGGGGGCAGGGCCTGGGGCAGAGCAGGGGTTGAGCACCCCCCAGGAACCAAAAAAGTCAGCACCTATGCAGACAGTTGTAAACAGAAGCAAATCACGTGGGACTAGAGCAGCTATCCGCAGGGCGGGCAAAAGAGCAAAGAGCTGCTATGCCATGCCCAGCCACATGAGGATGCACCAGCAGTGAGTCCATTCCTCTACAAACATATTGTCTTCCACTTCATTCAATCCCTGACTAATTTTGATTCTTTATTTAAAAACCGCTGGGACCATGTCATGTGTATTTAAAATAGCAGTCACACAATTTCCTCCCTCTACATGTTAAATGCATCATTAGAAGGCACTCATGACACTATGGTGAACTTCAATAATAGAACTGGTATTTGTTTCATAAGAAAAAGCTTGAATGAAATGATAATTTTCACTTTGTTTGAAATCATCTGTGGAATCTTGAAGTTTTTCAGTGAAGCAACGCCCCAGAAACTCAGTGTTTGAAAATAGAAAAAGTGGGAGGTTCAGTTATTTCACTTACTCTTGCTCTTTTTTCCCTTCTTCCCCAAAGGATGAGAGGAAGCAAAAAGGAACAGAAGAAGGAGGGAGAAAAAGTCAAGTGAAAAACTAACTTTTTCATATTTCAATTAAAAAGAGGAGCATTCTGAAACAAATTTTTCTGCAAAAATTTTAATTTAATTGAAAAAGCCATATTTCATGGATAAACATTTAGATGAACGTTTTTCTACCATCTCTATTCTACTTCTGTCTATTTAGTAAAGACAATATTCAGATATGTACAGCCATGCTCGGGTTCGTGATCCCATCTGCTTTGGAAGGCAATGTGGCCTAGTGGATAGACCTTGAGAATTACAAGACCAGGGTTCTATTCCCAGTTCTGCCCTTGGCCTGCTTGGTGACCATGAGCAACACACTACACTATGTCTCAGTTTCCCCATCTGTAAAATGGGTATAATGATTCTGACCTCCTTTGTAAAGCGCTTTGTGAGCTAGGTATTATCTACCAGAGGGTTCTGGGTGCTAGGTGAAAAATCTACATCTTGCACTGATGGTGGAGAGAAGGATTGAAATGCAGGGGCAGTCTCAGCATAGCTCTAGAAGGCACGCATCCAGAATTACCATCTGACACCAAAGTGCCCTGACTGGCAGTCTCTGGACCGGGACCAAGGTTTGCATGGGTGTCCTACTAGGTCAGAGATGGGAGAGCAGCAGGGATGCTTGTAGCAGGGCTGCCCATGCTATATCCCTGCTGTGGAGAAAGAGATTGGAAAAAAATCTGTCTCTAGGGTTGTGATCAGTTCCAAATTCACTCTTCAAAAGGAAAGGATGTCTGTCAGTCCTGGCTTCAGCACTAAGCAATCTGCAGCAGGTCACAGCGAGATGACTCATGCCAGCTCAGTGAGTACATGTGGGCAGAGAAATTCAGGAATTGCATGAAAGAGAATTCACATCAGCTTCCCATAAAGAAGGGCAGCAGGAACAGCTTGCACACCCTTCCTTGCGGCAAGGGAGAGATCGCTCGGCTGATGTCCTACAGGCATGACACGCAGAAAGGCAGGAGAAGGGGAGGATTTACACAGAGCTGGTCATGGCTAGCAGATTTGCAATGGGATTCCTAAAATGACAATGTTTTGGATATAGAAGAAACTGGGGACTCCAGCTATTGCACACCTGCTGGCGAGGTGAAGTTGTGAACTATTCAACAAGAGCAAATGCTGGAGAAGATGGTGTCTCTGGCAAGGTCTCTGCTCAGGTCCACAAACAGCTCAGAGACCTTGTTGGTAAAACACCTGCTGCAGTTTATTTACAATATTAGTTCCCACCAACCCTTGTGCTCTGTGTAGCCTCATCCCCCTAGGGCTAGGAAGCCCTCTGCTTTTGCATCAGGAGCTATCTCTTCCTCCCTTCCTTTCCCCATGTCCTTCCTGTGCCTTTTGTATCATCTGCCTACTGACCTAATTAGCCTCTCAGTTGTCCTCAGCCCATCAATTAAGCCAGGTCTACACTATGTTGCTCAGGGGAGTGAAAAATGACAAAGTTCAACCTACCTAAGTCCCTGTGTAGACAGCAGTATATTGACAGGAGAGCTTCTCCCACCCACATAGTTACCGCCTCTCAGGGAGGTGTATTAACTACGCTGACAGGAGAAGCTCTCATGTTGGCATAGTAGCATCTTCTTCACTAAAGTGCTACAGCAGTGCACCAATGCAGCTGCACCACAGTAGCACTGTACGTGAAGACAAGCATTAAGGTACAGCTCTTCTTAATGAGGTCTGCTTTGCAGTAATTAATTAGAACTGCAGTGACTAGGGTGCTGGCTCAGCAGCTGTTGCCCAGCACTCTGTCAAAGTGTCCTAGTGGTTATAGCACTAGACCAGTTATCAGGACACCTGGTTTCTGTTCTACTAACTTGCTCTATAAGCAAATGACTTACCATTTCAGTTTTCCCATCTGTCAGATGGGGCTAATGATCATAGACATGCAGGACTGGAAGTGGTCTCAAGAGATCATCTAGTCCATCCCACCACACTGAGACAG